TAACCTTAGAATCGTTACTGGAGCAAGTGTACTTTAGAGAAAACAAAACCATGAACGCCGAAGAGACAGGCCTCGTGTTGACAAAATCACGTTTCGCGTATGCCGGTTGCAAATATTTCACACTTATACCGCGTTCATATGCACAACATTTACTACCGTAAGTAATTTTACACATGTGAAGGCCTAACTATACATACGTAAATTGTGTAAGGCACATATATTCGTCCGTCTGTTCACGACTTGCAACACAAAACAGGTTGTTTTCCAATGAAAGTTGAATGGGAAGAGATATACTTCATTTTTTTGCGTGAAGCAACATTTAATTTCTACACAAAGTTTTGTCTCCTTGAAACCAAAAGAAAACACCGTCCGCTCAATTCTGTATATGCGCATAAAAGTTGACAATTTGTTTGGTGTTGGCAAAAGAATAGATATTAATTCATCATCATCATCATTTATTGTATTCAGGCCATAGGCCCATATACATACAATAATATTATATATATACAATTTTGTACATGTACAAGTATAATCATGCAGACTTATATGCACAGAGATGTGCACGTGTACAATTTTGTGAAAAATAAATCGCATCACAACAAAAGAAGAGATTAAAGCATTTGATTAAGAAAGGCAAATAACCTCAAGAATGATTAAACATCATTTGTACAAAGACGGTTGCGAAGTCGTAAACCATAATTATAAACCTATTCATTGGGATCGCTATTAAGTAAGAGACTTCTTTCTATAGGCATTAAAACCTATTGTGAGTCGGGTTAAATCTCATAAACAGGGACGTTGTAATGTCCCTGGGATTTTATATAATGTCCTGGGTATTTTATTAATATAACTTCCGTTCAGAATGTAACATGTAATGAAATGTAAAATCAAATGTCAAAGGTTTTCTTTATATTCCCTAGGATCGAACTCGCAACCTTCATATCTGTAGCCTAGTGAGTGTACCACGAGGCTACAGAGGTGTTGATAAGCCTCACTGGTTTTTAGAATGTCAAGATCCGTACGCAAGCAACAGATATTTTACGCGCGTTTCCTAAGGTTCATGGAAAGGATGTTCGAAACATAAAAATGTTGATAAATGATGTTTTAAGTTTCTTTTTTTCGGTTTATAAGCATGGAAAAACACTTTCCCTCGGTTTGGGTAGACCCCCCCTTGGTTTTTCCCTCTCCCCAGGGCATGCTCTGTCTACCAGAACTTCGTGAGCGTGTTTTCTCGATAGGATAGTATTCTTTTGTTGCTCGTTAGATATTTCATCAAAACGGAGGAGCTTGATTAGTGTATTGATGTTTTGGGGAAAACCTTGGAAATATTTTGTTCTGAGCGATTCATAACATGGACAGATAAGCATAAATTGGTATTCGTTTTCAATAAATGTGGGGCAAAAAGGACAAAAACGCATATTTTTTTAAACTGAGGTAAAACGACCCATATTAGATACTAGATTGTTCAAACCTAATCTAAAACGTGTAAAACACACTCTAAGTGTTCTGTCTGTTAAGTACTGTTCTGGAGATAAGCAGGATGTTTTATAAAGGTCGTACCTTGAACTATTTTCCAATGTAGCTCTCCATTCTTGGATAAACATATCAGATGCAACTTGTTTAAATACACTAAGAAATGATGTCTTATCTCCAACACCTTGGTAAATCCAAACATATCCAAATCCATGAAGAAATAAAAGTTGTCTGATTTTAGTGGCCCATGTTATATATAACCAACATTGTCGCGGTATTTCAGCATTTCATAACATTTACGTGGAATACGATCAGGTGACATTTCTGTAATCTTTAACCAATATTTTAGACCGCGTACATAAGAACAGATATGTAAGGGATGTCTTCCACATTCACCATACACCATACAATTTTGGGTAGATTTGCCAACATTTAAGAATCGTTTACATGCAGTTCAGTGAATTTTTTCCAAGATGTGATATTTTTCGAGACCCAAAATCTCTGAACCATATAACAGAATTGGTTTAACTTGAGAATCAAAAAGTTTGAAGAAAACAGACGGGGAAGACACACCGAGTTTATCAAGAGCAACAAATAAAGTAATGAGGGCTCTCTTAGCTCTAGCCCAAAATCGTTGACGAGGTGATTTAGTTTCAGATTAAAAGGAAAAATGACACCAAGGTATTTATAAGTTTTTTCAACATTAATTTGTTGCTTATTTATATACCATTTTTCCCTGGATGCAAGAGGACCCCCCTTTCTAAAAACAACAATTTTCGTTAGATCTGTATTAACAGTCAGTTTCCAGGAGATGGTATACTGAAACAATATGTCTATTTGTGTTTGAAGCCCATTAACTGTATCAGAAATTAGTATAACATCGTCTGCGAAAAGTAATATTAGCAATTCATACATATCTGGATAAATTTGGACACCGTGTTTTCCGTTTTGTTGGATTTCAAGGGACAATTCGTTGATAAAGAAAGAGAAAAGGAGAGGGCTTAAAATGCAGCCTTGTTTCACACCGATAGGGCAATCAAAGTAATCAGTGACACCATTTTTGTGACGAACACATGGTTTGACATTTGCATATATAGATTTTAACATTTTATACATTTTACCCCCAACGCCCGTTTTTCTCAAACAATCCCAAAGTTTACAACGATTAACACTATCAAAAGCTTTTTTGAAGTCCACAAATGCAACATACAGTAATTAGATCATCATTTTACGTTGACATAAAGGTTCACATTGCAACATTTTCACACAGTGCAAATTTACATTTATATTTGCACCTGCTCCAGACATGATGCAAATTTGCTCCTGGTGTAAATATACACACATGAGTAAACACGTTCACATGACAAGTATACTCACGTATGTATTTCTACACACGTATGCACATATACACACACATGTATAGAGGCGCACGTGAACGGGGTATTAGTTACGATACATACATCCGTGAATTCCTCATACATCTTAAACTAAATGTCAAACTGTCACTAATGTTCTAGGCCAAGAAGAAAACACAAACGAAATAAAACTGGCGTAGAAAAGGAATATGCTCTGAGAGTGAAAACAGTACTTGTTTGAGTAAGAAATAAAACCTAGTTTATGTTAATTTAAACAAGAATGCTATGACATCTGTTTTAGTGTCCATATATTTAACAGTAAAGCGGAGACCAACCCAGACTCTCAAATTACTGATAATGATAATAAGGTCATTCAACTGTTTGTCACCCGCAAGTGTTTTTGTTGTGACAGGCGATGGCAGCGACTATACTGGTTGCGGCGATTGCTTGAATCTTACTTCTGTAATGTCATCTAGTGACATCAAGCACAAGGCAACTGGACTATCAATATCTTACTCATTCAAAATCTGTGCGGTTTTACTGTTCAGATGGCTGTCACTGCACCACTGTCGAAAGTAGAACTGACTTGGCTGTTCGTTTCCCTCATCTTTTTTAATTCACGGACATTCTTCATGTGTAGTTTGCGTGTTACGTTTGGCGCCAAGCTCCTTCCCAGCGCGTGACACCTTCGTTACACTCTCGGTAATTGAGTATAGATAACGGGATGTCGCTGTGAGGAGCTTGGTTAAATACATGGCCACTGAAACAGATGGCATGGCATTGCCGTCGAAATTAAAATAAACTTGGGTTTATTTCTTCCTGAAACAGGTACGTTTATCACTTTCAGAGCACATTCCTTTTTCTACGCCTGTTTTATTTCGCTTGTTTTCATCTTGGCCTAGACCATTAGTGATAATTGTGTTTGACAATGAGTTTAAAATATGTGGGGAATTCACGGATGTATGTATCGTAGCTAAGTGTGAAATATTTGCAACCGGCATACGCGAAACGTGATTTTGTCAACACTAGGCCTATCTAAGGTTACATGCGATGTTTCAGAATGGTTATTTGTGTCTTGTAAATTACAGATAACCGTGATCACACACATGATGCTAGCTTTTGTAACTGAATTTGGTAGGTATCATATATATATTTAAAAGATCCATGAATTTACGCTGTGCATGGCAATGTAGTATCTTTGTAAAAAAATAACTACGAATGCAATTAAATATGGAGACATGCGCTCACTTCAAAAGTTTGTTTTTAGTGAAAATGATTACAACAAAGTGCTCTGCAAATGTTAATTGTGTCGAGAGCACTTTTACTTCGCAAATAAACTTCACGTAGTCCGCTTCATATTTTCATTCCACACAGAGGTCCAATGAATTCTATGTTTAGTGTCGTCCAATCGCAGCCCAGCGCAGGTAGACAGGAACCCAGTCTATAAATTTTGTCGCCATTTGGCTTAATCGCTCTCAACTTGCGTCGCGTATCAACAGTGGAACAGTTTATCCGAAAACAGATCACGTCCGAAAACTATGATCCGACGACATAACAAGTACCGCGATAGATACCCCGGGGCCGAGGTTGCAGGCTGAAATGAAATAGAAATTCAAACTGACTAAAAAGAAAATAATTTAGATGTTGGAAGAGTATATATTTTGTTTGTAAACATAAAATCTGTTGCGAGTTCAACTCCAAGCGTGGCTGTGGCAGCATATCACGCTTGGGAGCTATGACTGGTAGCAACGTGACAGCTCCGTGAAGGGAATGTGGTTATATTATATTTTTGCTTATGTCTTTGGGAATGCTATCATAGTTAATTTTTAAAATGTATACGACTCACCAGATTACCCAGATGAATTTACCTTTTGTTTGTTCAGAGACCATATACCGATATATGGTCTCTGGTTTGTTTGATCAGATTGGTTCGAAATTGCAGACGTAACGGTAAAACACCCAACTTAATTCTCCACTACATTTTTATTATACCATTTACATCATATAGAAATTCAAATTGATAAACAAAGAAAATAATTTAGCTGGCGTCACGGCAGCCATCACTTGTTAGTGTTGTTTGTGAACATAACGCTGAGTCGGTTGCGAGTTCAACTCCAAGCATGGTTGTGGCCACCTATCACTATCGGGAGCTTTGACTGTGGTGGCAGCGATACAAGCTCCTCACAGCGATATCCTGTTCGCGGCTCTCTATTACTATCGCTGCCACCGAGAGTGTAACGAAGGTGTGTCACGCGCTGGGAAAGGAGCTTGGCAGCCATAGAAATAGACATTAATACGGGATATTGCTGTGAGGAGCTTGATTTTGCGGCCTGCAAGGAACTCGGAGGTAGGAGAGTGGTGTCTTTTCTGTGTGTTGTTCGACGCCGCGCTCAGCAATATATTCCCCCAATATGTGGGCGTTCTAAATCACGTGAATCCGATCAATGGCTGTGTAGATCTATGTGTTTCAATTCACGGAGGTATAAATTGATAAACCTATGTGGAAAACTGTATTATTACACATAGCCGAGAATATTGCTGAGTAGTGAGTACGGCGTTAAACAACAAACAAACAAAACTTAGCCGAGAGCCGCGATGGGTTCAGAGTATACATTTGGGTGCAGGCTAAAACAGCACCTCGGCAACACCACACCGATTTCTCGGGCGAAAATGGCACCTCATTTGGCGAAAACGGCTACTTAATTGTCTGGCGAAAACGGCACCTCTATTTTTATGAACGATTTTTATTAACGATAAGAACGATTTATGTAGTTGCCTGCAACCTCGGGGTATCGCGGTACTTGTCATGTACGCTAAACGGAACAAAATGCACTCACTAACCTTTATGATTATTCGTGTTCTCTATATCAGATATCATTTATTTTATCAAACAATGCATATTGTACTGATAAAGGTTCATTATTTACATCAGTAGCTCCGAGTAAAAGCCGGGCCTCGCGCTCTGTTTGACAAGGGAGAGAACTCCATCATATCGCGGTACAGAGAAAAGTTGTGTATGGAACTCGGAATTGGACAAAAAGAGGACATGGTATGATCATGCCAGACATCAGTGATTTGTCCAGACAAGTGCAAAGATATCACAAGAAAAATTCTAAATGTGTTATCAGTAATAGGTATTCAATGCATATTTACCGAAAAGTAAGAGAAAAATATTTTTATAAGTAGTAGTATAGGTGGTAATGGGGGTTCTGGCTCACTTCCACTGGAGCCAGATTTATATACCTATACCACTACTACAGAGGGAATTTTTTATGTCAAAACGATGATGCGATTCAACCATCGTCATCACATTAAACTAAATTGTAATGAAAATATTCTCTATTATTTTTACTCATACGTATACCATTATTTTTAACAAAGTGATATTCACCATTTTTACTAAGTTCTTCGTTCATTTTACTAGGAGGCCAGACTATACTCTTCTTGGTAATTGGAAAGAAACAATTTATGACCGTATTTGGTTGGTTTGACATCACTGATATAATATATACCCTGTGGTAATTCTCTCCATTTGATAATTTTGTCCCTGAGCATAAATGCTTCGATAGCTTTTTCGAGTTCTTCCTTTGTTGGTTTGTAATTCTCCATTATTTGTACTTATGTAAGCGTTCGTTTAAATGTGATCCAACGATAGGAAGCAATCTATTTTTAATCTCTGACAAGTTCTTTGGTTTTGGCACGGCTGGTCCTCTTCTTTGGAACGCCCTGCCCAAAGAACTCAGAATGCTCAGTGAACTTAACAGTTTAAAAAAACGGAGCACCTTTAGAATACAGTACCACAACTTCTCGTGAGGACGATCTCTGCCGTAGGTCACCTGTCTCAAGACAAGCAACCAGTTTTTGTGAGAATCCGTCGGACGCGAACCCGCGACCTTCGGATTGTTAGCCTGACAGCTAACCGACTGAGCTACGTCCACACTGTTACACTTTGTGCAAATTTACCTAGTCATGCCTATGACGTTACGGAACTGAACGAAAAGAGTCGAATAGGAGATGGACACTTACGAAGGTTACGAGTAGGCATGGTGTCTCGTGACTTTAGTCTACGGACACTTACGAATGATCCCAATGCCATTTGGCACACTCGTCCCATTCCGTAATCTACAAGATATCGAGTGGTGAGGAATGAGCCGATATGCCGCGAACTGAAAACAGCTCCAGGCGTCAGGCGTCAGACGTCAGACGTCGAACTCGCGAGTACGCATGAATGATATGGTATTTAATAATTCGTCGGGTGATTTTTGTGACAGAAAAGTGTGTTAGGGAACACTGTAAGGATAATGTGGATAATAGTAAGGAACGAGGGAGGAATAAGCATGACTAGTGACGACACAACGGTGAGTTTTTTTGAATCAGTACTGAAAAATTTAGCCGGTGAAAGTGGCTTGTGTGGATGTTCCAGAATAGTTTCCAGTAGCCAAAATATTCGACACAAAACCATTTCATCCTTTGTACTCGACGTTTTTGTGTGAAGAATATTAGGAGCCGCTATATAATCTATAATAGCCACTAAACGAGTACCTAACCCTAATGAGCGTAAAGGGGTGATTGATCGTAAAGGGGATCCAAGGGTTAAGGATAGACTTCGGGTAATCTAATAGCCACTAAACGGGTTCCTAACCCTAATGATGGTAAAGGGGTGACTGGGGACATTTGGATGTGTTCAGCACCAATATAATATCCCTAATAAACTGCATTCTTGTGCATAATAATGAAAATTAATGAACCGAAAAAATAATACATGTATATATTAGTTCCAATTTATAACAATTTTATCCACCTCAATTACGAGAAAAACGAAATAAAAAATATATAAAAAATAAAAGTGCTTTCGTTAACTAGCGCTTGCTCTAAAATGCGCAGCCTCAGGCTATAATCAGTAAACAAATACTCAAAACTCTCAACACCACTGGGCGTTTTCAATGACATTGGGTGTAGAGATGATAGATCACTGGGAGGAGCTTATGCACACTCGATGACCCCTGACGTCACAGGGCATTGTTTCGCCGGTGTGACTGGCAACAAAATACTAGGGTATGATCACGTGTTTGAAAAGTTTGTGGTGCTGTATTCTAAAGGTAGGCCCAAAAAACATCTGAAGACACACTTGTTCAGCAAAATATATACGGCCATACCAACTGTGCGAGCTTAAAGAGCGCTTTTGAGCAGTCAGTCTGGAAACTAGCGCTATATAAATACCAAGTTAATAATAATAATAATAATAATAATTGACGCGCTTGTTGTCTCCCCTGTTCTATGAAATTTTTATTCTCGTCTTCGCTCATACCACTAGTCTTACGAGAATTTGATCGAATCTCCTGCTTCATTGCGTTGTATTTGGTGAGTTCTGACAACACTATACGAAACTCCTCCTCGGATATCTTACAATCAGCCATTGCTGTTGAAATATGGTCCTCAATGCTGTTCAACTTTTCTTCGGTGAGTATCCGAATATTATCATGTTTTAATGCTTTCTTTTTGCTTTCTTTTTTGTCAACTCCGTCGAGAGCATTCACGGCTCTTCGATACTTTTTATACAATCCAAGTCTTAACTCCCTCTCCTTCTCTATTCGATGTTTTATGTCGCTTATTTGATGTAATCGAAATCCATCAACAGTATCCATCTTTTCAGATGCTTCATCGAGCGCCGGATATAAACTCATAGTTTATATTATTATATCATATAATAGTCTTTAATTGGTCTTGCTTCAATGTTTTGAGAGTATACATCAGCCTTATTAAATGTATATTATACGGCATAAATATCTTATTAAGAGAAATGCTATCACTTTTAATAATTTGGACCCCCTCAAGGGTTGCAACGGGTGATGCTCCCATATAAATAATACTGCAACGTTGACGTTGGTGTTTCTTGAGCCATTTAATTGATAGACCTGGTAATATTTTGAAGGCATCTTCTGGTGCATCTCCAAACAAGACTTCAATAATAAGCGTAGAAAGATTAGGTATTGCACTCAATTTATCTTTAATATCACTGAATTCAGTAACCAAATTTAAACTAACGTTTTTTACTGCCGGACGACTAATAGGGAGGAACACTTTCAAAATAGCATGTGTGGTAATCAGGATAATCTTTATATGAGACCTTGACATAGCAGTCTCCTTGAATAATTTCAATGCCCATAACTCTTTCTAATTTATGATCTACTTTTCGTAGGTGTTTTGGAAAAAACGGATATGGTTTGACATCTAATTCTATGCATGGTTTAGTGTTGTCTTGCTCGACATTTACGGACATTGTATTCCCTGACAGAACATTGACTGATTTATTGTCTTGTGCTGATTCCTTTTGGTCGAAAAACTTATGATTCTTCAGTGGACGTTTTCGTCGTTTTCCTGACATACTTCTTTTGAGGTGAAATTCTCTCCGAATGGAGTCTGGAATGCTGCTGCCATACTCCCATGTGTTTCCCCTTTCTGGATCCTTCCATTTCACTCTGTAGTAGATTTTGCCATTTGCTCTCTTAGAACTTACAATTGAGTGGATGTCCTTTGGATTAAAAATAGGAGGGATATATACCGATACAGATGTTTTGTTAATGGAAATACAAACTGAGGATGTGTATAAAGATATGATAGAAAAAATAGATTTGTACGAGACGAGTGATTACCCAAAAGATAATCCATTGCACAGCGCAGTAAATAAAACTCCTATTGCTGAGTATGTTGGATTAAGACCTAAGATGTATTCTATAAAGAAGTCCGATAATGGGGAGATAAGAAAAGCTAAGGGTGTTAAGAAGTATGTGGTAAAAAGGCATATCAAACACGAATAGTATAAAGAAGCATTATTCAATGGTAGAACATTCAAACAAGAGATGAACCCTTTAAGTGACAATCACAGGATATATGGATTAAGAATGAACAAGACATCATTATCCCCTTTAGATACAAAGAGATGGATTGATAAGGATGGTGTAACTACCTATGCTTATGGTTATTTAGGGAGGTAATACTGTATCGCTGGGATCTATGAGCAACTCTTCTCGTAAAAATACCCTGCCCGGTCCATCTATAAGATAATATAGAAAAGGCTTGCCTTCTTTCATAACCAATCGACTAATGTTATATATCTTAAGAGACCAAATCGGATCAGTTGCACGACGTTGGCCTCCTTCGAGTTCACTGGGCCGGTATAAATATCTTACGCTTACTCTGTCCGGAAACTTTTGTTCTTTGCCTCTCCGTTGTGCTGAAGATTTGAAAGTCACAGATCTCATTTTAACTGCATCGGATGTTTCTTCCAATTAATCTTGTTACTTCATTATTCAGCGCTGATACAACAGCTGATAGTCATGTAACCCA